CTCCTTTTTCTCACTTAAGATATAAAATCAGAACTTTTAATATTTTAAACAAAAACTTCCGATGATTCAACAACTCAAAAGATATTTCAAGTAATTTATATTAGTACTACAACAACAATGTATTAATTTTCAATGAGAATCAAATTATATTTTGAGTTTTCAGCACTATAGAATCGACATCTCGTGCAACTAGATAGAAGTGTGAACAGGGCACATAATAGTTTTTAATATGTAACATTAAAAGATAATACAATTACAATTGCAATTACTAAGACAGAGGAAGAAAGAACAAAAAGAACAAAACAAACAGCGAACACAATTATGTAATAATTATACGTACAAATGTTGTTCGCGTTTTCTCTTCTGTTTTCTTCATGTGTTGCGCTTTATACAAGTTGTAATTAGATTATCTTTTAATGCTATATATTAAGAATTTACACATAAATATTTATTTCACCTTCGAATATTTTTATTTCTTGACGATTACAACTCCAAAGCGTTGAAAACTCGAAATAAAGGTGTTTTCTTTTGCACAAACTAAAGTAAATTTGTTGTAGCACTATATACTTAATCTTTTGAAAAAAAATGTTTTTAGACGGCTACATTTTCGATAGATGCCTCGTCTTGCTACAAAATTTAATATTTCTTGGTTAGAAAAAGTAGATTCAGATGGTGTTCCTGTTAAGCGATGGCTCAAACAAGGTGCGCAACCATCATCATTCATTTGTACATTATGTAAAACCAGTGATTTATACTGTGGAAACAAAGGGTGGCAATCTATTGAACGTCATATGGACAATAAAAAACATCGTGATAATTTAAAATTGTTAAAGGAAAATAATACATTTACAATTCAAACTGAAGCGAATCACAATCCATCAGAAGCTGCTTCTTCGTCATCAAACATATCAACGGTAACGCTTGCATCTCAAACAAAACATTTTAGCTTTTCAGATCAGGTGACTCGTGCCGAAGCACTATGGGCAATGAATGCAACACGTCATGGTTATAGCTATCTTTCGTGCAATGAATCTGGTGATTTGTTTAAGAAGATGTTTCCTGACTCAGACATTGCACAAAAATTTAACATGGAACGAACAAAATTATCATATGTGATTTCACATGGTCTTGGTCCATTTTTTCATCGTAATCTTGTTGAAGATATTAAACAATGTGAAAGATTTGTGTTATGCTTTGATGAACAAAAGAATTATCAGAATAATAAACAATTGGATATTCTTTTCAAGTATTGGAGTGTCAAGAATCAACGTGTTGTTACTCGTTATTATAAATCTATCTTACTTGGTCATGCACCTGCTCATGTTATTAAAGATCATATTATTAATTCATTTAGAACGGATGGTATTGATATTAAACGTCTATTGATGATAGGACGAGACAATCCTAACGTAAATAAAGCCATTGAAAAGCTCATTGATGAAGAGATGAAGAAGGTTGGTGGAGAATTGCTTAAATTAGGTTCATGTCATATTCATGTGGTCCATAACGCCTTCAAATCAGGTGAGAAGATTGTAATATAATACTTGAAAAAATTCTTGAATTTTCTATAGGTACAACAACATCATGTTGGTATATTGAAGGTTTTTGCATAGATTTATGGTCCTGGTTTCGCCATTCACCAGCACGAAAGGAAGATTTTATCAAAATTTCAGAAGAAATAAACGAGACAGTTGAAAAGAACATACTTTATTTTGTTTGTACACGATGGGTATTACTTGGGAAAGTAGTTGATCGTATTTTAAGTAAGCAAATTTAGAAAAAATATTTAAATATTAATAGTTAATTCTTAAAATAGCACAATGGGAAATTTTAAACGAATATTTTCTTGTATATTTGCCTGAAAATGATAAAACAAAAATAAAAGAAAATAAAAAATATAATTCTATTAAGTCATGTTTATCATCACATATCTCAAGAACTCGTTTACTGTTTATCTCTTACTTGTGTCGGGTTGTTTTTGATAAATTTTTAACTTTATTTCAAAAAACCGGTCCAATGATTCATTTATTATATGAAGAATTATCGAACTTGTTTCGTACTGTTTTGTTGTCTTTCCTGACATCTGAATATATTGGAAATAAACAAGGTAATGATTTATTATTAATCGATCATAAATTATCAGAAAAACAAATGAATGATAAACAAATAAAGATTGGTAAGTAAAAAAAAAATAATAAAGAATTTTTGATTTATTTAAAGCTTAGGTGAAGAAACACGAAAATCATTAGCATTATTGTCCAAAGAAGAAAAAGAAACTTTTTTTCGTGATGTAAGAAATATTTTTCAATCAATTGCTTCGTATCTAAAATCGAATCTTCCTTTGAACAACTTATTTTTGCGAGATTTAAAAATATTGGGGCCTTCTTATCGTTCTGATGCTCAAGGCATTGATACTATTATTCGTATTGGTCGATTTATACCAGGTTTATTATCTTCAAATGAAATTGATCTTCTAAGTGATGAATGGTTAATGTATTCTATTGAAGTAATTGATGATTCGTGGATTATTAAACGAAAATATAATGGTTTAGATGGACAAGAATATATTGAACATCATGAAGTTGATTATTATTGGAACAAAGTTCTTTCAATCGTTCAAATCAATGGATATCCGAAATATCCAATACTATCAAAATTAGTCAAGAATATACTTATTATATCCCATGGAAATGCTGATGTCGAACGTGGCTTCAGTGCTAATGCTAATATTCTTACTGAAAACCGTACTCTTTTATCAGAAAAATCAATAAATGGTCTTCGAGCTATATACGACGGTGTTGAATTGTTGGGTTGTGGATCAGTACACAAAGTAAGGATTTTAACATTATCCGTCAGTATTCATTGAATACCAATCTCCATGTTTAGGTACAGGTTGGTATTGATATGATTCGTGCAGTTCAAAAATCTGCCGCATCATACAAAGAAGAACTATTGAAAATGAAAGCCCTTGCTGCCTCTCAACAAAAAGAAAGTGAAATTCTTCAAACTGCAGAGTTGGAGAAGAAAAAACTAATCGAAGAAGAACAAGAACTTATGATCAAGTATAAAAAACTCCAATCGGAACATAAAACAGCTCAATTATTAATCGACGAAGGAAATCAACGAATGGAAAATTCGTTAAAAAAGGGAGATTTTACTGATATGCACGCTGCATACGCACTTAACAAATCTGGAATCGAAAAAATGAAAGTCATTGATGAAGAAATGACAAAGATTATGGACGATGTTTCAGCAATTCAACAGAAGCGTGCTCATGCTGAACGTGAACAATCAAGAAAGAAGCGTAAATTAACTGTTGAACCAGTATTAATTCAAAACGAAAACATTTATTGTGACTAATACTAATGTTTATATTTATGGTACAGTGCAGTTAGATCATTTTTTTATAATAATCAGTTGTTTGATTTCATTTATTATTTTTTGTTCTAAGTGATTGCTTTTTGAGCTTTTTGTTTAAAATTTATATATAAACATTTGTTGAAATTATGTTAAATGTTTTAATAAAATGTATTCAGAATACTAATAAGCTCGAACTTGCGTAGGAGTCTTTTTTTCGAGAAGACGGAAATCCTCCTATATTCCTCCTTTTTTACATCAGATCCTCCTTAATATTTTCAATGATAATCCTCCAAAATCCTCCTTTGTTAGAATATAGCGTTGACATACCAG